CTGAGCAAGCCAATATCTGGAATTAATTTTGTTCTTTTGGGAGGCAAGACAGGGGAGCCCGTAAAGAGGATAAGTCCAAATGGATCACAAGTTTGGATACTGGGAGGGGGGGGTTTGTTCAGCTGGCTGCGGATGTGCACTTGCAGCTTGAATTTTCTGGATTTGGTTTTCCTCACCTCACTTGTAAAGGGACTCGGAACAAATTGAACTAAGATCACTCCAGCCTCGAAGCAGACTTGTAGCTGGTATTAAACATATTTTAGTGGGTTGTGCAATGCAGAATCCTTGCTCTGCAGTCTGTTTTAGTGTTTCTTTTTCTCCCTGTGCTTCTGCACTTTTTAATGTCAGCACTCTTGTTACTGACTGTGCTATTTTGTGAGACCTGAGGGGAGCTGGGGGTCGTTTCTCCATCACTAACGTTTGCCACTTTGGGGAGCAGGACGCAGGCTCACCATTTTTCATGTCAGGAGGTGAAAAATAACTTTTTTTGGTCGAAATTGTGGGGAGGAGGCAGAATGCAGCTACCTCAGCTGCATCACAGCCATGGTGAGGAGCAGCTCCTGCAATAAAAATGCACTGGGATGGTGAATGTCAGCGAAGGGTCCACACCAGCTATTCCTTGGCTGCAGGCTGGTCTGAGCTCACATCCCAGCAAACTCTGTGACAGCTCTGCTGGCAGGGTGCACTCTCCCGTTGGTGTTTGACAGTCCATGACAGGATTATAAAGAGCTGCTGCACCTACAGGCAAAGAAACGCTACAGGTCCTACATTGCTGCAAATCTCATTTAGGCTTGTGAAGCCCATCTCATCCAAAGGCTTCAACTGGATTAGTTATTTTTAAACCCCACAGAAGGAGTGTTAAAAATGTGCTTTTTCATGCAAGCAGCCTTAAAAAAAAATTAAAAAAACCCCCGTGCTTTATGTTCTGAGGTGCTTTCTCATAATTTCCCCATCCCTTTGCTGCCTACACCCCGACACGGTATGAAAATGACTTTGGAGACAACACAAAGGGCTGTTTCTGCAGCTTGCTTTTTGTAAACCTTAGGGTTTTGCTTTTCTCCTTTGCTGAAACTCCAGTAAGCATCTAAGATTTCAATGTGATTTAAGAGAGAATTACAGCTCCTGTGATATCCCTGCACAGAGCCACTGGCTGGTGCTTACTGATAGGTTATTAATAGTGCCAGTGGGGAGTGAAAATAGATGTCCTCTGGTTTTAGGGTGAAATCTTGAAGGGGTGGCTGGCTGTGTGACATGAACTGAGTCTCTCATAGGTGCAGGAGGAATCTTATCAGCTCTTGCAGCTTGCAGCAAGGTTTGCTGCTGTATTTGCTAATGGGTCTGGCTGGAATCCAGGGTTTGGGCTTTGGGGGCTGCCAACACCTTGGCCACAGGCAGGTGCTGTGGTCAGCCACAGATGCCCTCCCTGCTGCTCTGGGATGCACCCAGGGATGCTGGGCTGTGCCTGAAGCCAGCCTGGCTGAGCTCAGTGTGCCAGCTCCAAAGGGATTTGAGGACCTGGGATCACCAGGGCAGTGAGGAGAAACCCCAGGAGTGCACCCCTGCTCCTGCCCCAGCCTCACCCTACTGATCCAGAGCCATGGGGTGGCTGCAGTGACCCCAATCCATGGGGAGACCTCCTGGTGGAGGGGCTTTGTCTGAGCTGGAGAACTGCAGGAGCTTCTGCTCCCTGCTTTTCACCCCAGAGCTGGTTCTGCATCCCCCTTCGTGCCTCAGGGCCCCAGCTATCAGCAGAGAGGTGTCCCTCTCCTGGGGAATGGCACACAGCCTGTGCCCTGCTCCAAAGGGGGGGTTGGCTCTGTCCCCATGTCCCTGTGGCACTGCCTGGCCGGGGGCACGAGCAGCCAGGTCACCCCAGCCCTGCTTGGCTGCGGCTGCTGGCTCAGCCTCACAGCGCTTCTCCCACCCCTTATCTCACAGCAGCTGCAATTCCAGCCACACAAAACCCAGCCACAGACTTATTCCAAACATTTATTAGTGTTTAAGGAAAATAATAGTGTGTGAAAGGTACAGAGCTTTGTCTAAAGCCATATGCATTTTCTTTATTTACAAGCTTATTTGGCTGCAAACTCTACACGAGATAAAACTAGTATGTTTTTCTCCCAGAGATTTGGAATTAAGGACAGTTTGTCTTTTATTTATTTATTTCATTTTATTTTTCTCCTTTTAGTTCAGCACTGTGAGTTAGGACAGCATTTTCCAGGGTTTACTGCTATCTTTTTTCCTGTAGGCGTTTTGCTTCTCTCGCAGTATTTTCATTCCAGAACAAGGCTCATTCCAGATGCAAAGCATAAAGGAAACATTCATACCTTGGCTTTTAAGCTAAACCTCCTTCATGAACAGCAAGTTCATAAGGAATGTTGATTAAAGCATCATACAGTATCTAAATGGACTTTTTTTTTTCTCCTTTTTTTTTTTTATAAAGAATTAAGGCTATGTAGATGTCACAATAAAATAATCTCAGGTAAAACACACCCTATCTGTTAGATATGAAAGAAAGGTTTAACAATAAATAAATGATTTATGCTGTCAATAACATTATGGAACTGTATAAAACTATATTTACGCAGCTTTAAACATAAAAAAACCATACTAGTGGCATGAATATATACAACACAGGTCATGACATACGTTTAAATTATCATAGCCAGCAGTGTTCTTTTTTTTAAATGGGGACACTATAATAAATAGAAATGTTAAATATTTACAATAATAGCATATGTGGAATCAGTAGATGAACACATAAAATCTTCACACACAGAGGAAAAAAAAAATGATGCCTTATACAAAAATCCCTCCCACCCACAGCTTGTCCCCCCCCTCCCCAATTTTCATTGACTAAACAAGGGGAATACACAATTTTCCCCACAGAACCAATGAATACAAATAAAACTGTATGCATGCTGAGGTGATATGTTGACTGAGACATTCAAAGATGTAGATCTCTGTTTGGTTCCCATTGATGAATCAAGACCTCTAATGACAGAGGGATCTTATTTCAGTTCAATGCAAGAACATTGGTAGCAAGTTGTTGTTTCTGGTTTGTGTTAGCTTTTTTTTTATTGTTTTTTTTTTTTTATTATTATTTTTTGTGCTAAAATGCTTGGATTGTCTTTTTGGTTTGAGCTTGTTCTTCGTGGTGGTGCTGTGCCACCAAGGGGGAGAGGACACTTGCAGGAAACCCACGGAGGCACGTGCCAGAAACCTTCTTGGGGCACCACCAGCAGGATTTTGGAGCAGAGGAGGTGGCCAAGAGAGTCAGGCCCACACCAGGGTGCTCTGTGGGGCAGCCTGCCTGGGTGTCCCAGGGGTGGCTGAGCTGTCACCAGCCCCACGGGGCAGATGCCACACTCACTGCACCATCACCGAGGTCTTTGCTGCTACAGCACCTGGCCTGAGCCCAGCTCTTCCCACTGAAACCAAATGAAAATTTCATCACAGAACTTTGCTAAAGTCGGGCAGGATCGAGGCCAGGTCTCTAAGCAAAGACCTGGTGATCACAGAGACACCTTTTCAACTCAACTGTCCCCTCTTGCCTCCTACGTGGTCGCTATTTAAAGCAGTGCCTCCAAGTTCTGCGGGTGGATCCCTGCATTAAACCCTGAATGTAGCTATTAGGAGCCGTGCTCACTTAGCAGGAACTGAAATCTGAGTTGGAAATTGTAGCCAAATTCCAACACCCTCCTCTCCTGTTTATGCAGCTCCTTCCCACCATGCAGCAAGACGTACGTTGGTTCATGGGTACGTTCTGTCTCTGCTGAACTGCCTTCCTGCCCCCACAGCTTTCCTCCCAAACTTTCCAAATGAGAAGGCTCCAATCCCCAGCGTGATTCCCACTTTCTAAGAAAACCTCCCTTTTTTCCTCTAGAGGAAGCTGAGAGCTCACCCTCCTGTCCCTGTGGGTGCTGCAGCCTCCACTTCCAGTACAATATCTGGGAATATAGGATTGCAGAGCTGCAACCTGAGAATAACAATTGCATAGGGGGTAGGAGAGATATGGCCAAACACCTCATTCACACTTGAAACTGCTTAAAGACAATAAACTCTTGACACTCTTCACCTTTCCTAACTCGTTCTGTGGAGATTGGTTGTCGTTACCTGCACAAGAATTACAAAACCCAAGTCAATCCCCTCTCCTTGTCTTTGGCATTTGGATAAACCAAGCTATAGGCAGGTTAGAGTGGGGCTCCACATCCCAGCAAACCACACCACACTGCTAAGGAGAGGCAGGCTTCTGATGGGCCTTCAATGCAGCCCTGATAAGAACTAAACATATGGGGATTTATAGGGTCCTTTGCTGTCTGAGCCCACACCTGCCCCTTCAGGCTTGGGCTGTGAGGGTGGAAGACCTGTATCACTGAGGGGGCAGATGGAAGCAGAGAATATGCACAGGGCTTTCAGAGGTCCATGAGAATGCTTTTGGGGGTCCTCCACACCCTGTGCAAGTCTTAACAGTCACGTTGCCTTGTCTGGAAGCTGATTACTTGCCTTTGAAGTGACTGGGTATGGTTCTGTGATCAGCAAGTGTCAAGTTATGCAGCTGTTAAAAACTAACAGGGGGCACTTAAAACCAGGCAGCGTCGCCCAGGTGGGAACAATGGCTCAGAAGTTACTTCAGAGAAAGTGGTGGAGCTCCAGACCACACGGTTCCTGTGCCAGAGACGGGGCAGCTCCTTCATTAGAGAGCTTCACACAGAGAGCCCTGAGCTCTGGCGTTCCCAGCCACAGGCAGAAACCAAATCCCCCTGGAATTCAGCCATCTGCTGTGAGGCTGTGCCCTGAACCTTTGGAGGTGCTAAGCCACAAGCAGCCACATGCAGCCTGGCAGAGCCCACTTGGAACCTTCTCCCCTGCCAAGGAGACCAAAGGGAAAAAAAAAACCCAAATAAAAAAACAAAAAAACACCAAAAAAAAAAACCAACAGAAACCCCAAAACCAAACCCAACCCAACAAGATCCTAAATTTCAGATGATGTCCGTTTCATAAAAAAAAACACCAAAATAAAAAGGGGGAAAGAATTTAGCTGGAGACATTTTGCCACCCGAGCGCCGAGTTTGCTGGATCGATAACCCATTGCCACTGCTCTCCCTTTGCTACTATATACACACTGATGCCGAGGTCCATAGATATCTTGCAATGCCCTGTGCTTGACCTCTGAATGGGAAATGCTTTGGAATGTCCATAGACAGGAGGATGGAATCAAGGGAGGAGGTTTCGGGGAGGGGAAGGGGGAGCTGGTGCCTCTTTTCACCTCCGGATGTCGGAGAAGTCGGACAGTTCGTCTGCCCGGTCCAGGATGCCGTGGGCCCCTTTGGGAGCGTGGCCCCCAGCTTTGACCCGGGCGTTGGAGTGGCCCTTGGTACCTCTCTCTGCCTTGGCTGCTCGTGGGCTCTCCCTGTGCTCGGCGTCAGCGTGGGCCGCCATGTCCCCGCGGCCTGCAGCGGCCCTGCTGCCTTCCCCCACCTTCCTGTCGTCCCCGTGCACGGCCGAGGTGCAGAAGCTCAGGATGGAGCAGAGGCTCCCCCAGTTCTGCTCACACTGGGCCTGGACGCTCCTGGTTATTGCCTTTTTCACCTCCTCGCCGCAGGTCAGCAGGATGTTCACCAGGTCAACGTAAGGCCTGCGGGGAAAGGGGAGCGGCGAGAGAAAAGTTAAAAATCCACCCCAGGGAATCGGTGAAGAATCTGCCTCACCCTCCCTGGGCACAGCAAATCAAGTGGTGTGAGTGCCTGGCACCCCCTGACTCAGCAGCAATTCTGCCCACGTTAATTATGGAAAATCCCATATTCTAATCAGGCATTTTGCTGCAGGAAATGCACGGTGGCATCCTGTCAAAGCCTCTCTGGATTGATCTTGCCTGCTCTCCCCCTGGAGATACTCTGGGAGAACTGGAATGTTCAGCAGAGAACAGATGAGCTCTTGCTTGGCAGGTGGAAGAACCGTCTCACACTTTCTGCCTCCATCTCTTTCCATACCCTCCCATCTTTGTCACTCAGGACAGCAGGCAAAGGACACTTGCTCCTGCCCAGGGCCATCAGCTTCACCAAGCAGGCTCTGCCTCTGGGAAAATGGCAGCTACAGAGCATTCTCCAGCCCCAGTCTGCAAGAGGGAGGCATTTTCTCACTCAGCTAGAGAGTCTTTGGCTTTCCTCATCATCTCTGGAGCACTGGGTGCTGATCTCCATCACAGGCAAGATCCTATCTGGACCCAGGGTCTGCCTGAACAGAGCTCAGACAAATGGAATCCACTTTGGTGGCACTTTTTTCTTCCCACACCAAGTCTTATTTCTTCATTTCCTTACAGAGCTTTCAGTATCCACCTTTTCCCAGCCAAACAAGGCCTCAAAACATGCCCTGCCTGAATCCCCTCTGTGCTTCTCACCCACCCCTGAGTATCCCCAAGGCACCAGCAGCTCGAGCACAGGCACTTGGGCTTCTCAGCCACAGGTCACCGAGTGCAGCAATTTTAAAATACTTGTGGTCACAAGTTTTGTGGGTCAATATTGATGTTGTCTATTGACACAACTGCTCAGCTGCTTGCAGCCCCAGAAGGACGTGCTTAAAAATCTTCCATGGCAGGAACCAGCCACAGCACAACGGGGAAGCTGCCCAGGGTCAGCAGCCGTGGCTGTGTGGGGTGGGTGGTGGGGCTGCACCCCCTGGGCACCCCATCCACCAGCTCTGCTGCCTGTGGACAAGTCTAAATCTCTTCTCATTAACTTAAGACAGAAGAGATGAGGAAAAACCAGCACATTATGCTCAGTGTCTAACTTTACCAACCGCTTAAACTCATTTTGAATCGCTAATCTTGGAGAGCCACCTATTCCCCCTATCTCAAAATATTTCCCATGGTTGGATTGTTCCTACTGTTCAAAAAAAAAAAAAACAAAAGTTACTTGGAATGCAGCAGGGACCAATCTGCCAAGGCCTGTCACCACTTCCACCATAGCAAATCAGCCTGACCCCCACAGCTGACTCAGGAGGAGGCTTCGCTGCCCGACCGCGTTCCGAACACTCATCGGGAGAGAGCAGCCAGGGCAAAACAGAGAACAAGCCTGAGAGCTGCCACTTGCTCCTCTGCTCTCAGGGTTTTGTTTTAAATGTAAAGCAGGAGATAAGAGAGAGCTGAGCACGCTGCATACAAAGTGATCCAGCAAGAGGACATAACCCTCCGTCCCTCCCAAGGAATGAGCTCTTGAAATTGGGCATAACCTCTGCAGAAATCTTTGTAAGAAAAAAGGTCGCTGGTATGACTAAAAAGTGGCTCAGCTGCCAAATATTTCAGGTATTCAGAGCCTGCCAGAGCCCTGCGGATTAATACTGGCCCATTTCTCCTTGCCTGTTTTACTTTCTGCATTTCAGCCGGCCTGACCAGAGTACCTGAACTGAGCACAAGGCTGCGAGTCAGCAGACGTGATTTTATTTCCAGCTCTGCCACACTTGCCTATTGATCTCGAACAAGTTCCTTAGTTCAGGAGCTTCAGAGATGGCCTCTAAATTTAGGGGAGGGGAGGAGGCTGGCTGGTTCTATTTGGGGAGTCCCGCATAGGAGAGCCGAGCTCCCACCCCGGGAGATGCTGGAGTGTAGGAAGCGCTAAATGAGATCATGCAAATTATAGGTGTTCAGCTGAATGACCCTCTCTTCTCCAACCAACAACCCCCCAGCTCAGCTCCCCAGAAATAAGCAGCTGCCTCTGAGCATTCCTGCTTGAGCCTGTTCATAAAACAAAGATAACTCACTCCTCCTCGGACAGGCTTTTGGCTCGCACGGTTCTTCTCATCCCCAAATGATGGGGGGGTTAATTGGTGCCAAGTACCCAATTTATAGCTGCTGACACAGCCCAGACAGTGCCCAGAGAGGTGCTGCTGGGCAGGATGGAGCCCTGCTGCCCTTCTCCCCCAGCCAGCAGGATGCTGCCCACGGCCCTGGGCACAGCAGCTCTGCCCCCAGCCATGCCTTTGATCCCAGCCTCAGGAATGTCCAGGGAAAGGGCTTTGCTTTCAGGCCACCATGTGCAGCTGGAACAAACCACAGCACAGGATTTATGGGAGCAAACTGGCACTGAAACATCTCTCTGCAACTGCAGCTGAAATATTAGTGGGGGGTGGTTTTCAGCACTAAGGGAGGCAGAGCACAGCTCTTTTGGGTAGTGAGGAAAATAAAATGCAAGGCTAAAATTCCCAAAGAAGTGATTCTGCAAAAAAATTTGTCTCTCATGAGTGCTGGGATTTGAGTTTCTGTGCTAATATCAAGGCACAGAGGTGTGGTAGGAAGATGCTCTAAGGTTAAGCCTGATGCCAGGCTGTGGCTCAGCCTTGTTTCAGGAGTGAGATGTTCACCTGCAAGAAAAACAGGCTCTGATTTTTGCATTTGTGCACAAAGAGTCAGTGCAAACAGCTTGTGCTTGGTTTGTTGCTGTCATGCAGCAGCTTTGATCAATTGCAAGTAGGATTTGTGCCTGCCATTCCTCGGAGGACAGCTGTGCTCCCAGTCAGAGGAATGAAGTCCTCAAAAATCTGACTTGTGCCTTCATTTTGTACAACCCCATGTTTTATTAAAAAGCATCTGAGATAAATAAAGAATAAGATGAATGGGAGATTACCTGGGGGACTGCAGCTCTTTCAGGGACAATTAACTACAAGACATTTCAAAGTATGTATTTAAAGAAGAAATTATCATCTTGCTGACAACTTTGCATAAACCTTCTTCCCCCTTCTCTAGTTGTCACCTCTAACAGGATACTGAGGTCAAAATGATGCCTTTGAGCCCAGAAAACAAAAAAAGCATTGTGAGATGCCTCTGGAAATGGCAGACACCCATGCTGTATTTGCCAGAGCACCAAGGGGACCGGCACATCCAGCTCCAACTCATTTCACCTCCCTGCACAGCCACATCTCTCCCCTGGTACACAAACCTCAAGGGGCCCTGCAAAGAGAGCTCTGCCTTGGTGCTGCACATGGGAAAACAGGAGGTGCTCAAGGCCAGAAGGAGGTGAAACAGCTCTTGGGCAGATGCACAGCCCACTGGCACTCCTGGAAGGAGCTCCCACGCTCTGACTGCACCAGCACGGAGGCACTTACTCATGCTGCAGCAGGTCTTTGAAGTGAATCATCTCCACAATGACCTGGACGTTCTCCTTGGCAGCAGAGCAGAGGTCATGCTTCAGGTAGCACTCCCGCTGTAACTGGAACACCATCTCTTTAATGGCAGGGCACTTACGGCTGATGCAGCTGAATTTATGCCTCAAGGCATGAGCCTTACACTTCAGAGCGTCTTTAATGAAGGATTTTCCCTGAGAAGGAAAGAAATGGAGTAGGTCTGTATTTTTGTCCATTAAGCACAGCAGCTGATTTATGCCCAGCCAGCTGCTTCTCTGCAGGACAATGTCAAGGGTTATTACAGAGCTAAGGATATCACTGCATGGCTTTCCCCTTCTTCTCTGTTTCTCTGCCCTTAAAGACCCTGCCAAGTTACCCAGCTTTGCTGCCCCAGTGCATCTGAAACACCCAGGGCTTCCTCACTGCTCCTCTGAGCTTTGCTCTGCCCCAGCAGCTGAATGCCCAACGAGGGAAAGAGCAAAAGTAAGCACCTTGAAGTAATTCAGTGCTGGAGTTACTGGATTAATTTGCTTTCAGGGGGACAGAACAACAGGTTCACACAGAGGAGAGGGCATCCTGCCATGCTGAGCTCCTCAGGACCACAAGCAGATACCATTCAGTAACTGCAGGGTTTTTTTTTATTATTTTTAAATTAGTTTACAAACATGTATGGATGATCTATATGCACCTGCCCTATTCCCCAGACATCAGTATTTTCTTCCTCAGAGAGGGACTCAAATCAGCACTAATTATCATCATCATAATCCTACAGTGTCTTCATGCCTGTTGCAAGAAATTCTAGGTGAGATTAAGAAAATCACACCAAGAAGCTAAAAATTAAGGCGGAGGAAAGCTCCTTTAGCAGCATCTCTTTAACCACTGTGACTCCTTCACTCAGTTGATGGTGGGCAGCAAACCTACCCCTTCCTTTCCTCTTTTATGGGACCCTGCAGCTACAGCTCTGCTCAGACTCCCTGTGCCTTGCTGAGAACAGGCCCATGGAAGGCAATGCCTCCCCCTCTTCATCAGCCTCAGATTCTTTATGCAGGTGCTCCATGAAGACCAAAGCCTTGCTCCCCTTTATCCAGGGGTGCACTGCCCCAGCTCCACTGACACTAAATAAGATTCACCCAGACCTGCAAGCAGATGCTGTCCCCAAATTTTTCAAGTCAGAAATGTTTGTTGCTCATCCAAGAGCTGCTTCACCCCTTTCTGTTTCCCATAGCAAAGGCACTCCCTTGCCCTTCCCTCTAGGAACAAACACAGCACAGTAGGCAAATAGGGGTGAAAAAGAGAATTCTTATATAAACCCAAACTGACATCAATTCTCAGGTTTCAGAGCAGAGAACAGAAAATGGCCAGTGTTAGTCTTGTCATTTAATGCAGCTTGAAATAACTGGGGATGGTACAGAGAGGAGCTGTGAAAAGCCATGTCATAGCAGAGGCTAAAGTCACCTTCATGTTAAATAAAGCTGCAGGGGTTTAAGTCTCCTGCTCTGCACTGGGGACAGGCTGGATGTGAGGCAGGCTGTGTTTGATGAGCAGTACCTGGGGATCTGGCATCAATGGCTGCTCTCAGCCTCCACAGGCACCATTCCCTGCCTTCCCAACTTTCCTTCCCTGCTCCTTTGGTCAGCTCTGTCCACTGACAGAAACATTGTGCAAAAATAAAGGAGTGCTTTCTGGAAGCCACTTGGAAATTAAGTTGAAGGTTTTCAGATACCCACAAAAGCAGCAATTCCCATTTTAATGAGTAGCCAGGCCCTTTGTAAATCTTTGTGCATTTGAACCTAAAGCTCCAGCACTCCCCAAAAGTGCTCCCTGCTGGGTGGTCCCAGCACCCCTCATGGGACAGACTGGATCCTGAGGACAGCTCTGCTTTGTGCCACACTTTGAGCAGTGCCATGGAGCTGGTGCTTTTAGTCAAGTTATTCTGGAAGCTGCCCGCTCAGGCCAAATGCCGCTGGCCTGTCGGAATGCTCCCTTCCCTCCACTCTGAAATGGGAGAGGAGGTTTACAGGACATAATAACAGGATGGCTCAATGATGTATAAATGGTCTGGGGAGAAAATGAAGGAGACAAACTTAATGCCACATACCATGGAAGTAACGTATTTTAACGTCAGTGCTCGAGCCCAAGGCTTGCTTGGGTACAGCAGCTTTAGGGGGTTGCCTGGGCTGGTTGTGTGCAAGTCTTGAGGGCCAACTTTAATTGTTGGGAAATACTGAGATAATTCTAACTTAACTGGAAGCCCAAGTTGCACCTCATAGTCAGCTTTGACATGGTGTAGAGGCTTAAGCCACCCAGGTTTCTTAAACCCATGTTTGGCTCCATGAAGGGTTCTGCTGGAGTTATCCTGGGTACAGGAGGTGGAAGGGATCCAGGCAGCTGCAGCTACAACCAGCCTGTCTCCTAGGACAGGCTGCTGCTTTATTACTGTCCTGAGGTCCTGATTCTGGACCTTTCAACCAAAAAACTCCTAGGGAATTAGTGAATCACGGCAAGCAGACCGGCTCTGGGAATTTATTGGTGCAAAGACGCGTTAAGGAGCTGCAGTACATGCCAAGTGTGCGTTAGAAGCAAGCAGGCAGGTAGGACATGTCCCCGTGTTACCTGGGCATCGAATTTTCCAGCGTTGTGCAGGAACGTCATGCAGATCTCGTGTAAGCCTCGGATCTCGCAGGAATTGTTCTCAAAGCATTCAAACACTCCACATCCCACATCGCCAGCATTGACCAGGCAGTGCTGGATTTCAGCTAAAACGAGTATTGGTTAGAGTTAATCTGGAGAACTCTTCACAGGAACTGGCGGTGGGTAGAGAGACAAGAGTTGTTTTGCTACCAACATCAGTTTGAGAGAAAAATGCGTGACAATGGTTAATCGTGCCCGCTTTTCGCAGGAATTAGGCCAAAACTTGGGTGTATTATGTTATGAAAGTGATATCCAAGAAAGAAATGCCAAATCCACTATGCTTACGTCAAACTATTTCACTTGAGAACTGTCTCATGCTCTTGAATTCCTCAGGAGCAAAGGACAGGCGTGATTTTTGTTCTCTGGCTAGTGCAAAGCCCCCCCCCGCAAATTTAAGTACCAAAATGAGAAGCCCAGGGCCCAGCCAGCCAAAGTTTTTCATTTTTGCTACTTTGAGCAAGTTTCTGGTCATTTAACACAAGGTTTTTTACAGACCACTGGGTTTTGCCTGTCAGGATGACTCTGAAGTTAATGGCCAAACTCCCATTGATAGGTAAAGTCCTTTGCACCAGGAGTTGTATAAAAATGCAACTGTGTGCTCAGCCATGCAGAAATCAATAGAAAATATTTATATTTCTATGTGTAGTACATAAAATAGATGTACTGGAGCTAGCAGTTACACATGTGTTTATTCTGCCCTTTCAGATGTTATGTAATACTGCAAAAAATGCTGTCTAATACTCACTTTCAAAAAAAAAAACCCAAAAAAACACGCAAAAAACCAAACCAACCCCACCAACCCAAAAATCTAATTCTTAACATGACAGCTTCTGGTCCTTTAAAAAAAAAAAAAAAAAAAAAAGGATGTAGTAGTACTGCCAGAGGGAAGGTGGTTGCTCAAAAAGCCTGGGGATAAAGTTAAACAGGGGCAGCTTTTAGACCAGAACTGAGGATGCTAAGAATTCCCGTACTCTGTGCCCTGTGGTACCTTTAATTAAAGTTCGCCCTTGGGAGCCAGCCTAATCCCCCTGGAACCGCAGCGCGTTTCAGCCATCCCCAGCCTCCCCCTCTGCCATGCGGTCCATTTGCAAGTCTTTACAGCAACTTTCGGTCTAATTCCCACCCGCTGCAAGGCAGAGCGAGGAGCCGCGGATGGAGCGCGGAGCCTGCCGGAGTTCTCACGGCCCCCCCGCCACCCGCTCGAACCCAAATCATCACCGCCGCACTTTTTATTTTTTGCTTTTTCCCCTCACCTTTGATTTTTTTCCCCTTCTACCTGCCCTGAAGTGCATCTGGGGGCGGCCCAGGGGTGGGACGCAGGGGTTTTCTGAGCACAGAGGGAAAGGCGGGGGGGAAGGAAGGGGCACTGGAGCCCCTTGTGGAGCGCTGCGGAGCGCGGAGCCGGGCGCGCTCGGGGCCGGGAGCGCGGCTCCGGTGCTTGTGTTGGCATCCGGATGCAAACCCTTCGCCGGATCACATGTCCTGGCTCCAGCGTGCTGAGAACTGCACAGTGCCGTGATTCACATGTGGCAGTCCCTAATGGGCATTCGTGCATTCCTGCTCGTGTGTGTTTAAACACGTCTCGCAGCACGGAGAGTGTTAAAAAAAAAAAAAAAAAAGGGAAAAAGAAAAAAAAAAAAGGGGGAAAAGGGAGGGGGGGCGGGATGAAGGAGGGGGGGAAGGGAAGCGTCTGGATCCCGCGCTCTCTCTTTGCACGGCTGGGAAGCGATCCAGCCAAGTGCACGCCCCAACTCTCTCTTCCTAGGCAGATAATGCCCGGGGGAGGGAGCGCGGGGGGCGGGAGAGGAGGAGAGAAACCCCCGGCCCGTTGCATCATTGCCCGGCTCCCTCCGGAGGGGGCAGAGCCCCGGTCATGCCCGGACCCTCCCGGCTTTCCCCGGCCCTCCACCCGCTTCCCAACGCCGCGCCGAGAAACTTTCTCCTCCTCGCCGGGCTCGCAGCATCTCCGCGGGGCTCCGGCCGCGCCGCGAGCCGGGCGCGGGGCCGCGGCCGGGCACGGGCAACACGTGCTTGGCAGAGCCGGGCTTTAAAGGTAATTAGGAGCGAGCTCCGATTTCCTGCGATGATTTACGCCTGACAGTCGGACAGCGAAATAAAACGCCTGTCATAACTCGACGCGGCTGCAGCAGCAGCAGCCGAAGCAGCAGCAGCAGCGAGGGGAGGGGGACACGCAGAGGCCAGCCCGGCGCCCCCCGCCGTACCTGTGTTCTGCAGGGACAGGCGCCCCTTCTGCTGCGGGGTCCTGTCCTGCGGCCCCTCCGGCGGGTGCGTGGCCTCAGTGCCCGCGGCCGCCCGGGCGCTGGCCAGCAGCAGGGCCAGCAGCAGCGCCGGGGCCAGCAGCAGCAGCTTTCCGCCGAGCTCCGCGCACATGGTCGCGCCTTCCCCCCGCCGCCGCCGCCGCGTCCTCCCCCGCGGGGTGCCGCACCCGGGCCCAGCGCGCTGCTCGCCGCGGCCCCGCGAACCGCATGTGCCCGGCGCGGCGGCGAGCGCGGAGTGGCGGCGGCGGCGCCGGAGGGAGCCTCAAATATCCCCGCCGAGCCCCGGTGTCACTCGCATGAGGGAGCCGAGCAGGTGTCGCTCCGCGCCGCGGCCAATGGCAGCCGCCGCCCCGCTCCGCCCGCCCGCCGGGGGCCGGCCCGGCCCCGCCGGCAGGTTGCAGCCGCCCGCCCCCCGCCCCACCCGCACCGCGCCGGGGGATGGGGGTGCCGGGGGATGGGGGTGCGGGGGGAGGGAGGGATACCAGGAAAAAAAAAATTAAAAAAAAAAAAGGTGAAAAAGCGGGATTTTGACACGCTGATGAGGGAGGCGGCAGCCAGCGGACGGTCACCCCCCACCCCCTCCGTGGGGAACTTCGGGGCGCTCCAGCCGCGCTGGCCTTGCGGGAGGAGCAGCGGGGTGCCCGTGCCCGGAGCCGGCTGCCACCGCCGGCCGTCCTGCGGCACTGCCGCCTCATGGCAAGACTTGATTTCAAAGAAAAAAAAAAATTCCCTTTCCGAAGCAGCTATTGCAATGACTTTCTTGGAAATCTTCCACTCCCTCGGTTTTTTCCCCCCACCACCCTGAGATTCTGTACTCTGCTTGCTGCGAGGGGATTTGGGCCAAATGCATCACTTGAGAGGGGAAAGTGGTACCCTGGGTGCACACCCGGATGATGGGCGAACAGGGACGGGCGCTGCTTTCCCGGGGGGGGAGAAGCCCCCTCAGACCGTGGGGAGAGCATCACCCTTGCGACCCCCCCAGCCGCTCTGGCTGCTCCCTTTTGTCCGGTAGCTGGATCGGGGTGGGGGGGACACGCTCACACACACCATAGGAAAATCCGTAGCAGGTGATGAGAAGTGCCGCGCTGGCTGGGGAGGGGCGAGCGTGTCTCCCCTTGCCCTGCCGTAATGCACATCAGATGTTTCATCAGACCCCGCCGGCCCCATGCGCTCCTGCCGCCCCCGAGCCCCCGGCAGTGCCGGGGCGCGCTGTGCCGGGCCGGGGGCGGGGGTCCCGCCGGGGGGGCGCAGCTAGGAATGTCTCCAGCTGCTGCTGCCGCCCGCTCCCTCACAGCTGTCAAAATGCACTTGAGGAAATCCACTCACACCTCCCCGAGCAAGGGTCTCCTCGGCGGGACGTGACACCGCGCCGCAGGACCATGGCTCCACGGCTACGCACCAGCAGGCACGTCCTGACACCCCCTCGCAGCCCCCGGGCAGCCCCGGCCTCCCCCGGGTTTGTCTCAGGCCCACGGGGGTTTGTGTGCCGGGGCTGAGCGCTGCGAAGTTTTATTTATTTTTTTTTTTTATTTAATCCTTGCGGAGGATTTGACATCGTAACGTCTTTTTTAAGGTTGAAATTCTTAACGGCGGTGCCAAGCTCGTGTGGAAATTCCCTTTTATCAACATGCTGCTGCCTTCGGAACTGCAACTTGCAGCTTTCCCCTAAGGAGCTGGCTGTGCCAGGGAGGATGGCTGCAAAGCCCCCGTGCCCCTGGGATGGGCTCTGCCCTTTCTGATAGCAGGGCTATTAAGGGAATAGGTTTTTCTTCTTCATTTGTACCTCACCCGGAGTGCCTGGCCCTTCTTTTGTCCTTGTTCTCTTACTATTTATACTGCTGAAGAGTTTTGCTATTTAATTGCCTTTGCTAGGTCTAACTTAGCTTGAGCGTTGAAAGACCGGGGGCTGGATGAGTTGAACTCAGGCAGGAGAATTTAAGGGATGGCAGTTTTTCTCTGTTGCAGGAGATAGCAGCCAATGCACTGCTTCTAACCAGCGAGTCTGTATTATATTTATATAAAATATATTTTTTTTCCTGGTGCCTGGCAAATGATGCTTTCTCATAATGCTGTTTCCCTGCTGCTTTCATTCTGATGTCCTCCTGCAGCCACTCCTTATCATTCTTTCTGCCTCTTCTTAAAGTTACAATTTTGGACATGTTTTACCTTTTAGACTTTTGAATTTTGTGCAGTCTCCATCCTCCAGACCCCATGTTCCCCCCTCCGCTTGGTTCCTCCAGTCAGGTCTCCTAATTTCTCAGGGCATGTCCTTCGAGCCTCACAACCCTGGCTGCTCCTCCTTTTCAGCCCCTATTGTATTAATCGCTGCAATCAAGGTTATTTTAACATCTTTTCCTTACCAAAACTGTGCCTAAAATAGCCCCTCATGGTGTCACTTTGGGGGAGAAATCTGCTGCTGCCAGCCCGTTGAGCATTTCCCATCTCCTCCTGCTCAGCGGAGCAGGGCAGCAGGTGGCACTCAGAGCTGTGGGATTTCCCCGCTTTTTCTCTCTCTCCTGGTCATTTCCAGGGTGTTCCTGGGTTTAGGGGTCCTGGTGCCATCCAGCCCTTCCTTAGGGAGTCAGGGAGCTGTGGCTGCACTCTGGAGTGGGTGCTGTGAGGGATGCACAGGTCATGCTCCAGCAAATCTGGCGTCTCTCGGAGCGTGGTGTAACTCGCTCCCTGGCAGCATGCTGGACTGCCAGGTGATTTTATGGAATAGTTACCAATCCCAGTGATTTAGGGACGTCTGAACCCCAAAGGCACTGCAGCTTTGCTCCAGCACTGGGAGCTTGTGTGGACACAGGAGCCTGACTGCAGGGTTGTGCCCTGCTGCGAGGCGTTTGAGGACACATTTGAGCAGTGACACTTGGAGAGGACCACAGCTCCTTCCAGCAGTTCTGAACACCTGTTGGCTTTCAGGAATACACTCCGAGCTGCCTTTGGTTAACATACACAGGCTTTTCTTTTTAAGAGTGTTTCATAACTCCATTGAGGCTTCATATGATCAAGCAGTGGCACGAGCGTTTTGCAACTGCCTTGAAATGGGAAGCATTTAATTGTTTGGCGTCTTTGGGGAGATGAGCTGCCCTCATGACTATTAAGAGGGCTGTGTCCCTGCAAGGCCGTTGCAGGCAGGTGAAGGCTGAGGAATGCTGTGCAAGAGGCTCCGGCACACAGGGAGAGAGCAAGCACACCCACTTCTGAAGGACAGAGAGGCCGATGACTTCAAAAGGGAAGAGGATGCTGTGGGGAAGGTGTGCCAAGGTCTGCATTCTGGGCTTTCTATCTGTGACTAAACACATTTCACACTAGAGCTAGAGTGAGCTGTGCTGCGCAGCCCCAGCAGCGCAGTGGGATTTCATCAGACTCGAGGAAAATAAGCAAGGCAGGGGAATTGAGTGTTGCCTCCTCTCCTGGGTAATTTTCCCACCTCGAGGCTTAGTGCAAGGTGCTGACTTGCAAATGACACATCATTACGAGGCCAGCCCAGAGCTGCAAAGCCCTGCTGGGAACGTGGTCAGGAGATCGGGGGAAGCTGCCTCTTGGACTTGGTTCCTCCTGGTGTGGGACCTGCTCTGGGAACATGTTGATTTAATTCCCACAAGCTGGTTCTCGGATGGTGCGAATAAAGCTGCTGACAGTGACTGAAATGGGATTCGACACTGGAGAACCTGTTAGGCTCAGTAAATGTAGGGCTGTTGGGAGGCTTCAAAGGGTTGTATTTTAAGCCACTTTTCCCCTCTCATCATCGATTTTGAATTTCTGGTAGCTAGTTTTTATGAGGAACGAGCAGAAGTTGACAATAAAGTCACAGAAAATGAAATTTATGAAAAGCCAAAGCTAATTGTATTAAAAATGACACATATATTCTCTTCCTGATTGCTTGTGTAAAAATCATGTATTTGAAAAATATTCTCAATGAGTTATGCACAGGTTTAAAGCTGATGTGGCTTCTTTGATAAAATATGAACCACTGGAAAGATTTATAAGAGTCAGAAACGCTGCAGAACATTTTAGTATTTAGAGCGACAGGAAACCACTCTGAGATATTTTTAAAACAGGTATTTACTCAAGTAATTGGTTACTTTTAATGTGGAATAATAAAACCTGGTGCAGCTCTATTGGACTTGACATAAAAGACAGGTATGTAATTTGTGAGCAAAACAGGGTGGAATGTACACATTGTACCTGGGGAGGTATTTCAAGAAAGACAACTCCTTGAGACAAAAAGCCAAAACAACTGACACGCCGGGTTACATGCCAGAATTGCTTATTCCTCAGTTAATCAGCTGTGTAATGAGTGTCCAGAAACAATCCCTTCTGCCCAGGTAGTTTGAGTTTCAAACTTCATCAGCTTTGTGGCTGTCATAAAATGGATTACATGGAAGTTGGACCAAAACCACATGTTTCTGAGAACATTTTGGTTCAAATAATAATAATAATAATAATAATAAAAAAATGTGGCAATGCCTGTGCCAACAATTTACTACAGAATATCTGAACCAGATGCTGTTAAACTATAATTCCAAACAATTTGCCAGAATTATATATTTTCTTTATTCCTAAAGTCAAACTGAAGATATGCATGTTTTCTATTACTGGTGGATATAAACAAAAATGTGATGAGATTACAACTCATATAAGGCAGATAATGCCCAACAGTCAGGATTTCTGGGACTACTGCACGAGCTAAAGAAAAACTGGAAGTTCTGTTGGTAATTATGTGTGACAGGCTTATCAAAATGGGGCTGTTCAGACTGAGACATATCAGACTGCAGTCTGCTTAGTCACCACAGAAGAGCTTTGGCCAAAAATCATCCATTTCTCCCTTTTTCTCACAGTAGTACATTTTTTTTTCTGCCCTGAGAGAACGGGGAAGAGATCTGCAAGACGTGGAGAGTTACATTCTTGGGTAAAAGAATCCATGGAGGGGTCTCCTGTTAGGAGATACTTGTAGGCCATCTCTAATTTGCCAGTTCTTATGCAGCTGAGCTGCTCAGTGATGGCTGAAATGACAGACCCTGACGTCAGAATCAGCATCTTGCACGGACAGAGTGAGTTTTAGCAGGGGTTTTTGCGACATTGCATGTCATTCAGGGTATGGAGGCT